CTACTTTATCTTTAATTTATTCATTTATTGATATTTTACATAACAACATAAGTTGTCAGGATACATTATCCCATTTTATGGTTACTAGTACGTACCATTATTTTGTTAAATTGGTGTAAGTTGTGTGCTGGTCTAGTTACTCAACTGACTATTGTCATACTTTAAAATTGCCTCCTTTATTAATTTGTCTAATTAGTTAATTGTTGTGTGCTATTTTAAGTACTATTTACTCATACCAATTTACATATTTACAAATTTACTTCATTGTCAAAGGACTGGGTAGATGAATTTTTTTTGTAAATATTTATATTCTGGGCCATATTATTTTTTTTCATACTTTTAGATAACTGTTCTTGTATATAAATATTTTGGGGAATATATTTTAAACATTGTTTGGTATATAATACACATATGTTTGGGGGATATAAGAAATTAAGATTATATTTAATATAGTGTATAGAGCATTACAGATTTTTATTGGTTTTCCCATAATCTTTTATTTTTCAGATAGGGTATAACTATAGATACCCCAAATTGGAGTAATATTCAAAATTCACCCTGGCGCCCATCTCAAGATCATCTTAGGATTGATCTAACTCTCTGAAGTTACTACAGGCAAGCAAACGTGCCGACCCCCTCTTTTAACTCTCATTCTCTTGAGCTAAACAGATTCTCTTGTAGTGTTTAAAGTAGCTTCATATTTCCTTTTGTATTGGTAACATTACCTATTATTTAACTCTTTTATTTAAATAATAATTAATTAATTTTAGATTTTATTTAATCATAAAACTTTTTATATAATTTCTAATATTGGCTTCACGATCTTAGCTCTCTCCATTTTAATTAGTAGCTTTTCCCTAGCTTTCCCTTATTTCATTGGTTACATTACCAGTGAGAAACCGTAGATTCCTTAAAGACAAATAACGATTTAAAATGCAGGGATTTTCTGATAAAAATGAAGCTAAAAAACAAAAGAGTTAAGAAGCTGGTTACTTCTATAATTAAAGAAAAAGAAGATTGTACTATTGAAAATCAACCAGTAGGTACAAGAAAAAGAAACCGATAAAGATTACGTAAGTCCATGGTGTATTTTTGATGAATTAATTGGACATGACTCATCTAAACATACACCTGTATCGAGAGATATAAAAGAAGTCGACATGTATTTGTCTGATGATATATTACTCACAAAAAATTTCGAACGGAGATTGGAACTGTCCTTTACAGTGGTGGAAAAACCATCGCCATGTATATCTTAACCTTAACCACTATATTCATATAATATTTTAATATTGTAGCAACATCTGATCCTTATGAACACATGTTCAAAATCTGGTTTAATTTTAAATAAAAGAAGAACACAGTTAACAAGAAAAGTGGAAAAACTTATGTTTTTAAATGTCAATTTAGACGATTCGCGATTTAATAATAATGTGTAATGTAAACGTAAGTACTCTTTACTATTTGTATTGTTTAATTTATTTTTTAAGTTATAATAAATATATCCTTCGTTATTTTCTTTCACTTCGATACATATACATATAAACGATATTAGCCATTATGTTTGTTTATGCACTAATTGTTAAACAATTAACTAGTTACTTGTTTACGAAAAACGGTTCAGTTTCGTTAACGATTAAAACGTCCACGACCCATCTCTAGTTTCTTAGGTATAAGCAGGATCTGAAATAATCGTCTCACGAATGGGCGTCTATGAGAAATGTGGAGGGGAGGTCAAGGGGAAATATGATGGTTATCTTTGTCTATTCGCTGAAAATATAATTTTATATGTGTTAGATATGATGTTAAATTCTACTATACCGACCATAAATTTTTACCTACACCGTGCATATATATATATATATATATATATATATATATATATATATATATATATATATATATATATATATATATATATATCAGTCCGAGTATGGGTCCGCTTATCCAGAGATCACATCACACTTTTTACAAATATTAATTTTTATAGCAGTATTAATCTTAACTCTGGGTTTAGTTGTACTAACCGCGGAAATCTTTCCGAACATACGTATGTTATACTTGAAATTTCCGCGAGAGCTATATGTGCTTTCTGTGGTTTTCCGGGTATGACTCCGCGTTGACTAATTTTGGTTTTGATAATGGAAAACCATTATTTTGACGACGTTTCGGCAAGGTCGCACTTGCCATTGTCAAGTGTCAGGTATAGTGTATTTTTATGTATGAGAGAGTAATAAAACAATACATTATGTATGCAAATCCCTAAACTGTTGATAAGGATGACTCAATGAAAAAAAGATATTTGTCAACAAGTTTACAGAAGTATATAGGAAAACAATTTTAAATTGAGTATGACCACCAGGTATAAAGGTTGGAGCAGAATAGAATACAATAGTTGTAAGGGTTACTAATCCCTAAATAAGGTTGCCAGTGTCGGAGTGATGGAGGTTAACAGGTACTAATGAATTTGCAAGAAATGTAAGATGTTCATTTTATTGGTTATATATAACCAATAAAAGTTTAATAAGTACCTACCTATTTGCAAAATAAAGTTTAATTCTTTAGATAAAATAAAACGTTTTATTTTATCTGAAATGAGTGCATTCCACGAAGTAAGGGTTTCAACAATCAAACATTTAATTCTTTAATTCCAGGAATCTACGACAGTAATTGACTAGATAATTACCTTCTAAACTTATTCCACAGAAAATGTGATAGTGGGTTTTTGCATTTTGTAGGAAGGTCCAAGTGGCGTATTCAAAATTCTTAACAGTTCACTAGAAGTAGGTACTTCAGTTGCAAGGTGCAGTTTATTGTGTATACTAGTGTTATGGAAAATTTGGAAGTGCCGTGTAAACGCCGAAAAATTGGTCCTTTAACAGTTAATGAAAAAACATTAATATTTAATCGTTTTAAATCATTTACAGACAAACGTTTATGTGAAAGTGTTGATGAGACCGTTGAGTTAGTTAGCAGTACACTTGGTGTTGGGAAATCTACGATTTACAGAATTATTAAAGAAGAGAAATGTGGTAGTTTTTAAATGCCACGTAATGCTCCAGGGAAACCAAAATTTCAAATAGAATATCATTTTAAAAAAGGACTTCGACGGAAAGTGCATGAATTCTTCTTTAGACAAGAATTTCCAACATTGGATAAAGTTCTTGTCTCAGTTCGAGATGATAAGGATTACCCAGAAATGAGTCGAAGTACGTTATGGAAACTTTTAAAAGAAATAGGCTTCCGCTGGAAAAAGAATCCCAGAAAGTCTATTTTATTAGAAAGAAGCGATTTTGTCATATGGAGAAGACATTTTCTAAGAACTATAAAGGAAATGAGAAACCAAAAAAGAAAAATATTTTATCTTGATGAAACATGGATCAACGAGGGTCATACACCAAACAATTTTTGGCAGGATTAAACTGTTACAAGTCAAAGGCACGCTTTTGTAAATAACTTATCTACTGGTTTAAACCCACCATCAGGAAAGGGACACAGGCTGATAATAGTACACATTGGCAGTTCAGACGGTTTTGTTGAAGGTGGTTTATTAACTTTTGAATAAACTCGTACCGGTGACTACCATGAAGACATGAACGCTGATGTCTTTCAAGAATGGTTCGAACAAATGATAGATCTTCTTCCTAAGAACTGTGTAATAGTAATGGATAATGCAAGTTATCACTCCAGACTTATAGAAGGACTGCCCACAAGCAAGTGGTTAAAAAAAGACTTGCAGAATTGGCTGAGTTCAAAAAATATTACGTACCATCCCGGATCTATAAGAAAGGAACTTTATTCGTTATGTGCCCTTCATAAAGAAAAATTTTAAAAATACGAAATTGATGAAATTGCCAAAAATCGTGGAATGGCAGTACTTAGATCCCCACCATATCATTGTGAATTAAACCCGATTGAACTGGTATGGGCACAGATAAAGAGTGAAGTTTCAAGAAAAAATACAACTTTTAAAATTCATGATGTTAAACAGTTGTTTTTGGAGGCCGTAAATAATGTAAAACCTGAAAACTGGGAAAAGGCAGTAAATCACACTAATAAAGAAGAGGAAAAAATGTGGAAGCTGGACAATATTACTGATAAAATGATCGAGCCAGTTATTATAAATCTTAGTTTTGAAAGTTCATCTTCTGAATCTGATTTGGATTTGTAACAAGTAGCTGTAAGTTTTATATTAATATTTTTATTCATCTATTTAACATACCTTAGACGGTTTTAAAAATTCTTTTTCTCTTTTGTAATTTTTAAAAATTAAAAAAAAATGTGAATTTTTTAAAACCCTTTTTAATGTAGGCTAGTCAGTTCTAATATAGTGTGTGATAAAAGAGGTCACTTTTGTTTACATACACATAACACTTTATAACACTGAAATAATTCATTTATTTTTTACAATTATTCAAAGTAATTTTTCAATTAATCTTGAGCACGCCCATGGAGTGGTCGAAGGTACCAGTTAAAATTATGCTAATTACCCTCTCGTTCATAAAAATAAACTATAGTAGTTAACTTCAAGCACCAGTAAAACTACAGAAAGCATATATACATATATATATATATATATATATATATATATATATATATATATATATTATTTCAGAAGAAACAGAACTTTAAAGAAACCTTAAAACACGTCAATTTTAATTTATATATAATATAACAATATATTATGTATATGTATACTATATTGTTATATTATATATAAATTAAAATTGACGTGTTTTAAGGTTTCTTTAAAGTTCTGTTTCTTATTATTATTATATAATATTATATATATATATATATATATATATATATTATATATATATATATATTATTATTGTATTGTAATATATATATATTATTATATATATTATATAAATATTATTATATATATATATATATATATATATATATATATATATATATATATATATATATATATATATATATATATATATATGTGTGTGTGTGTGTGTGTGTGTGTGTGTGTATGAGCTGCTTACCCTTCACCTTTCTCTGTGTTGATTTTTAGACGAAAATCGACAGAATTTAGACTAAGGGGCTTCCACTTAAGAACTTCATCACATCTTCCAGGAACATACGGCTGTAAAAAAAAGTAACTTAAATGCATTGTATAATTGAATTAATAGAATGGTATTGTAACAATAAAGTCAACTGGAGAGCCAAAGAGTTACCAAAATTAAATAATAAATAACCAGAGACTTCTAGCAATCAGAGCAAATCGACAATAAGTCGTATTTTATATTAATAGAATCATGGTGTCTGACTTATCCAATGAGAGGGAGATAAGTAGACCACAAAGACCGTAAAATCAAAGATAACGTCGTGCCAAAAGGGGACTAAAGTATCTTCGGTATTGATGATCTAAGAAAAGTATGGAAATAAGAACATGGTTCTCCAATCCAAATCGTTAAATTTAGGTGGAATGCCCAGATAGCAACAATCCATTCTTAAAATAGTCATAACCGCCTTATTATTAGCAACATGGTGTAAATTATATTTCTAAACTGTGTTCGCTTCCAAGATAAGCATCCGTCAAGACATAAGCACGCCTCAGCTACATAACTTTTTGAGACCTGACTTTTTCTCTGCAGAAAAAAAATATATTGAATCTTCTTAATGGGAGATTGTAATAGGCTAAAATCATATTTTTGACATTTTTGTTTAACAGGTAGTCGTTTGACAGAATGTCCATTGCAATAATTGCGACTATAATACGAATTTGGGAAAATAAACATATATATTTTTATTAAATATAGTATATTTGTATCAAGCAAATGTTTAATTACTTTAAATAAAAATATCTGAAACAATTTTTGTTCTTTACAGAACATAAATGTACATTACATGTTTCCCTTTACCTCATCATTTTTGCATGTGGATGCTTTCTTTTTGTTGCCATACTCGGGTAAATGATATAGTTTATCCATCCTTAAATCCTTCAATGGTCTAATTTCCACTCTGGCGTGTTGGGAGGATTCTCATTTGACATTTTGGGACGACCAATGCTTCGTTTTATTGGTTTTTTCACTTTAATTAGCGCATCAGCAATTTGTATTTTAAAATCTAACAAATCCATTTGATCTTTGGGAGGTAAACTAAGCTGCTCCCTTTTATATTCTAGTCAACTATTGGCACAAGCAAAATTAAAGGCATGGAAGATTAAACGCAATGTCCATTTTTTTGACGATAAAAATTCTATAATATGACAATAGTTAATCTAGTAAATCTACACCCCCAATGGATTTATTATATCATTGACTCGCTTGCGGTCTCTGAATCGGTTTTTTTTCTTTTGCTTCTTATCTCATCTTTCTATTAGTCTTTTTTTCCTTTTCCAACAAATTCGAACCTACAAGCACAGACTTATTATCTTGCCACTTGCATAAAACCACAGTTTCTTTATCATTTACAACTTCTTCGCTATATCCCCATTCTTTTTTTGTAATTGTTTATCTATTGTGAATGGAAGTTTCTGGAATCTGTCAATTCTTATAGTTCCAACAGATCTGTATCCAATAGTAAGGTATCAGCAGGGCTGTATATTAATTGCTTCTAAAAATACCAAAGGTTAGAATGTTGTTTAGTATTAATTAATATTTTTTACCGACATTAAATAATTCATGAGAAGAGCCTGTAATATCGCTCATAGACAAAACAGGAATGTCCGCATCAGTTTCTTTATTACAGATATCTTCTATGTCTCATTGATCTTCAATTTGAGATAAAACATTATTAGCCAATTGTTCAAATTCATCGTTATCATCTAAAAAAAACCTTAAAATCTTTTGGTCTTTTGGATTATCCGGATTAAATCCTAAAACAAAAACACCAACATAGACCTATAGTCCATTGCAACGGACATCATATTTTAATGTTTGATATAGACAAAAAACAAAAATAAATCAACTATATCGAATAAACAGTATAAAAATTGATATGTCTAGTATTATATAAAATAATACTATAATATAAAATAAACCTTATACTTTGCCGTACATTTTTTCTACCGTTAATTATAATAAATACTGCTTTAAAAATAAATAGTAATTTACAGTAAACAAATTATTATGAAATATAAATATAATTTTGTATATTTTGACAAAAAAAATTGAACTTTACTTGAAGAACAGTTCCTTAATATTTTAATTTTATTGTAATACTAATTTCAAAAGGACATACATGTCGAACGTATGACAGTTTCAAATGATAAACTACTATAGTCCGTGCAAGCACTCTTGACCACGGCGCAGTAGACGAAATTTGGTTTAGTCTCCACTTCCATGCGAAACGCACTGTACTATGCAACGTGAAAATATCGACTTGAAAATTTTTAGTTGTGTTTCTGACTTTGAGGTGTTAACTTCAATAAGTTTGTGTGTTTTCTCCCATTTACCTGTTGCGTATTCAAATTTATTAAAAGCGGTCAAAAGGTAGGTACTTTATCATAAATTAAAATACATAGGGGCGCACTAAGGAAATTTTAATAAAATTTTTTCATTTCTTTTTTGTTTTGAGACTGGTGCAAAACAAAAATTACTTGTAGTCTGTTTCAATTAATCGGTTAATATTTGATATTGGAAAATCTTTTTTTTAACTACTTCATATGTTACAATTTATGTTGATTTGAGTTTATATTTTTTTGAAATCTTTGTTTTTTTAAAATATTTTTATATTTTCATTTTCTTCACAGTGCCATCACAATTAATAACAGTGTGTTATTCACAGTCAGGGCCGACATATTGTTTACAATGTGTATAGTTTTTAAAAAAGGAGCAAGAAAAAAACAACACAAAATCTTCGGTTTTAAATATGGTTGTGGAAGCCACTGAAATTTCTAAAAGTAGCGTCACAGAATTATTAAAGAAGGACAGAGAGTTTCCGATTTTTCACCTCCTTCAGGCAGCTCGGGAAATGTCTTAAAATCTCCCGAAAAAAGCCAACGTCGATGGTTATGAGGGAGAAATTATAAGAAACACAGTGCATACTTTTGCATTGATTCATGGCAGCAGGCCTACAATGTCAGCTGTTTACAACGCTGTTGAGAATGAGATTAATTTCCAAGGTAAACTATCGTCGTTCAGAAAAGTGTTGAAGAAATTAGGTTTTAAATGGCAAAAAACAAATGACAAGCGAAAAATACTCATGGAAAAAACGGATATTCGAGCCAAACGAACCGAATATCTAAAAAAATATATAGAGCTGAGGGTTATGATGTTATCTACACTGATGAAACGTATCTCCACAGCAGCAACCTTTTAAGGAATTCAGGTATACAACTAAATCCAATTAATTACTAAAAGAAAATCCACGTATAGGTAGGTAGAACCTAATTATTGTTCTATTGTTTCTAATTGTTCTTATCAAACCTCATTGCAATTCCTAGTTAGCTCTGATTTCTGGTAGATATGACGTATGAAGAATTCCAAACAAATTATAAATCAATCATTAGCATTCAAAAAATCAGTAAACAAATTATCACTAAATCAAATTATTCGCTGTACCCTTTTTTGAATATCGTTTAATTTACCGTCCTAAATACACTTATAAATAAATAAAAAATTAATTAATTTGTAAGTAGGTACAACAGTTTAGAAATTTTAAAAATAAATTATTAAATTAAATGTGTATTAGTTATTCATCTCATATTAGTTATATGTCTCAACTTAAAATAAGAAATTGAAAATATAAACTTATAAACAATAATTTTGCAATAAATAATAGAGCTTTTTCCACGTTTAATACCGAAAGTTGAGTTTAAAATACCAAATTAAAGCCAGTTTTTAAAAAAATTTGAACAAAAATCATTGAAAATATAAACGAAATGCACATAAAAACCATTTTTGTTATGCACCATGCAATTTTTTATTTATTACTCAGTCCAACACTGGTTGGACAATTATTTCGACAATTTCGAGGTTGCAATCGAAGGTAGAACGTTTTAGTTTGGTTAGTATAATTCCACTTACAATAGAATCTTTCTGCCTTTACGTGAATTTTGACTCCGCCTTCGCGGAGCTACATGGTCAAGAGTGCTTGCAAGTACTATACTACTACAGCTCCTACGTGGCCGAAATATATTCAAGATGTTTTATTCTGAAAAACTGTCATCTGAATCATCAGTAGTATTTAATATAATAGATTCCTATTGGAACTCTATTATATTATCTAATTTCCACATTTTTGGTTCTACCTGTAATACAACATGTTAATCACATTTTCGCCATTTTTGTGGATGTACGTTTGACACAGACTCGTTTAAATAAATGTTTTACATCTGGGAACATAAGCCGTGCTTTTGGCTGCTACGAATTTTTTTTTTTATATCCGTTCATGTTACTTAGATGGCATTTAACTCACAATTATATGAGGGCAGTCTTACCAACCTTATTTTCGCTTTTGGCCAGTTAGTCAACTATATTATATTTATCATAAAATTTCTCTAGAATTTATCATAAAAATACAATTCTAACTGACCCTAAGTGTGCGTTCATATCGAGGCGCCGACTCTCGATCGGACCATAGGATGGTATCATATTATCATCGCCACGTAAAATAAATGCATTATTTTAAATACGAGCGTTCACTTAGGCGAGGATACCATGCGATGATCTCCGTAATGAACGCACCTTAAGAGAGCCAGTGGTGGGACATCAATTTTTATTTCCAGTGAACATTTCCATTATTAATGTATATTATTTATTACGTAGATATCTACTCACTGTAATTTATGTACCATGAAAATAATAAAAATTAAGTAATTCTACAACGACTAATTCTACAGCGTATAAAACTTTTTTATACGTCACTTTAAATCATGCGCGCACGCTCGTTAATGCAAAAATTACAGAAAGACAAAATTATTTAACAATAAGGGCATGACAGATATCATTAACGATAAAAACAGATAATTGAGGGACTGAGAGGAAAAGTGGAAGTGACATTTTGTATAAAAGTGAGATATGTGCATGAGTGGCTAGAGGATGTTGAGATGTATTAATATAAAAATGGTACAAGTACAAAACACACTACAGTACGGACATCTGTATGTGAGAAGTAAAAGCTCTCACCAATTTCTGGTAA